GTAAACGGGAAATGTTCGATCGTCGTGGGCAGATCCTTCCTACCTACACAGGGATGGTATATCTGAACCCATCGGAGGTAACGCCTTCAAGAAAATTCGCTGTGCTATTTGTGCTTGCCACTTTGGTCTGCGTTAGTGAGCTGAATTTTGGAGTGATATTCTCGCAAAACAGCAAGCCGCACGGATTCCAGACCTACTTAGCCTTAAAAGTATAGCTCAAAATTCAATTCCGTTCCATGACTGAATTCTGACATTAGGTTGACGAACAAGTTGTTGCTTGCATTTTGAAATTGGCTGAAAAGGTAATCTCGAGGGAAACTTAACCCAGCGAGCCAACGCTCACACCCTGTCTGGAACAAAAATACCTGATACACGCTCTGCGAGCCCCGTGGGCGTTGGGGTCCCTCGCTAACTCTCAACAGTGATAAGTACTGGCTTTATTGATGAGGGGTCCCTCGCTAACTCTCAACAGTGATAAGTACTGGCTTTATTGATGACTCAGCCAGGGTGAAAGTCTCTTGAACAGGGTCTCGAGAAAAATCAGAAAAGGGAAATGTCAACAGGTCGATCTAACGATCTCCTGCTTATAAGCCCAGACTAATAGCGCTGCACTCTCTCGTTTCATAACATCTTCAAAAGTTGTCACTAGAATCCAAATTCGATAGTTGCGCTCAAATACTCGTCTGGTGGTAGATAACCCATTGAAAACGGTCACTTCGACCTGCAATTATTCCCAGCACAGCCGTGTGCGTGTGTTATGGCGTGTCATGAACAAAGCCCCGAAATGACTCCGTAGCTGCTTGCGGGCACCGCACTTTGGCTTGTGTGAAAGAAGAAAACTCTAAGAAAAGGAAGAAACGCCTCACACCTGATCTAGCATGGATGGCTTTGCTTGAAAGAGCTGATGAATCTCACCTGGCGCCCGCCTGTAGATGCTTTAGCCGACGCAATTTTGCGGCCTTCTCGCGTTTCTTCAGAGCGATAAGAATCCGAATATAGACGAACAGCACCAGAATACATGGAATCACAAATGAAATGATCGATGAGCCAATGGAGAACTCAGCGTTGTAAAAGCGGCACTCGTGAGGATTCGCATCCGGTGGTCGCACGTTCACCCCTGAAACGCATTCACTTATTCGAGGTTGAAACTGAATTAGGTTATTTCAAACTGCTCATCACTGTTATGTGCTATCCCCAGTCCTCCCGACGACTTCTTAGGAAAGTAATGCACAATTGGGAGCGAAAGTGGGAAGTGACTACATTAGGGGCCTGCGCCATTTCACTGTCAGGTGGCCTCTCTTGTGACAACTGCCTGTATTTGAAGTGAAACTAGTGATCAAATTTGAAAAAAGCGCTTTTCTCAAGACCAAGTGCTCACACAGGCTGGCTCGTGTTCTATATAAAAAGTCCTATCGCAAGATACGGGGGCATCTCAGAGGTCTAAGCATGGGATAGGACGGGAACTTCGTGGAAAACGGAAACTGCTTATCTACACTGGAGTCCTTCCTCCCATAAACCCTTTTTTGGACAAAAAGTGAATGTTTTATGCGATTAAATCGGAGCTGTAAATACATGCCCCCTTTTCTTGCGATAGGCCGGAAAACTCGTTGATGTGCGCACATCCGGCAATTTTTTGTTAATTATTCTAAAATAGAAATTCTCCTTCAACAATTTCACAACTCGTACTTGGTGCAACCTTCTCCGGACAATGCATAAAGATAAATTTGGGACCTGAAAATTGCGAAATAAATCGACCAAAACGCCCCATTTGGAGGTAGATTGAGCGCGCATGAAGGTCATGCTGCGTCAGCGTCTTTGAAGCCTGAGATGCGCGAGCAATTTTCGATTACAGGTCTCATAATTCCAAACCTTCAATACCCTGCGACCTGGATCAATGATATAGCTTTTCCACTATCAAAAATTGTTAAAGGGATTTCAAAGAAAAGGATGGATTATCACTGTTTTCTCCTCTCGTTCACGTTTCTTAGCGGGAAAAGGGTAACTCAAACGCTACTCAAATACCTAGAGGCTGTTGGCAGTGTGTGGGTTTAAACTACCAAACACCATGGGACTGGGCGACGAGCAGCGAAATTACCCAGGTGGCGCCGATCATCGCGAAAACTCGTCGCACGTTCTGCGATTGGCGAGAGTACTGAATTGGACGGCTTACTGCTCGATACCTGGAATGGTGATAACTGACAATGAAGATCGTAGTGGCCAATGCGTAGTGTCTTCGAAGTCGAACGAACCTATCAAAACTAATAATCGCAAGTAAAAGTATGGATGCGGTACTGCAAGCCACATCAGATGCCATATAAATGTCGCACATCAAGTTTCCAATGTACCATTCGCCTCGTTGTACCTGAAACATTAGAGATTTATTACGTCCTGTCGATGATTGCAAATGTTTTATGGAATTTTTATGTTTGTTTATGTTTTTGTTTATGTACATAGAAACATGGAAGGTTCAGAATCATGGCATACAATGAAAATTATTTATTCAGCATACAGTTACTTTTTGCTACAAAACAGTTATTTACCATCGGACGAAACATGAATTCCTGATTATTCATTTCCAACTTGTGCAGGCCACTAGAAGAAGTTCGCAGTCTTCCCCGCTTCAGACTTGCTTTCTCAGTACTGAACTAATAAAATATAGAGCAAAGAGAACTACGTAAAAATAGGACCAGGTTCCAGGACATCAGACCAGTCGGGAGTCTGGTAGCAGGAGTTGAGGAAGGATACTGCCTCTGCGCAAAGGAAGAATGAACATAGTCGTTGTAAGACTGATTGCCGTTAACTAAGAATCTTACCACGAGGCAGAACTTCCCTGAGACAATATCGAGTAGCACTTACAAGAAGGGAAGCGTTTCCAGCATGTAGAGCCCATTTCAAAGCGATTTTAGCCATAACTGTAAGCCTCTAACATGGACTGTAAAACTGAGGTTCATTTTGATTGAGCATTGAGCGGCCCCCAGAAGGCCAAAAAGGATCAAAAACTGCCCGGACTGGGTAATTTTACAGCTTGGAGCGATGTATGTAATTTCCAGACAAGAGTGTCCGGTCTTCGGAAAATTAATATTACACAAACGGCGCTTGTGCTATTTGGAAGAAATTTGGAAGCTCCAACCTGAAATGCAAAAATTTTGTCATCACGGGGGATTGAACCTCGGACCATTTCCTCACCACTTTTTGGCCTTCACGGGCCGCTCAGCGAAAATGGACCTAAGGTTCTGTAGTCTACGCATGAGATCATGCAAAACTGCTAGGAAACCGTTTTGAAAAAGCGTTCCACGTCCTGAAACACATCCCTTGTTAGGCCGATGTTTCCCTTGCAAAAGCCGATCCCTGAGCAGCTTCCACTAGAAGCTGAACTTTACAAAGCATCCACTATAAGGTAACTTCTGGCTTTCTCTTGCTTCAGAGGATCAACAGTGGGATGCTGGGTGGGCCATGTATTCTACCGAAACCGTATTTTTTGGAAGATTGATATCGGTGATAACCTAGATATTGTGATTGAGCCTACATATTGTCTTTTCTCATTATCATTCGATCATTGCCTGCTATTTTGCGTTTTTGGGTACTCTGTCCAAACCTTTTCTGCCACGGTGTGTTGCAAAGATGGGCCTTCGAACAATTATGCACTTGTAGAAGGTTTGATCGGCTAATTGAACAACTCTGCTACGCTACTGGTCTTTGAACGCTAAAAATGATGGTCTTCGATTACTAGCCTTTTTCTCTAATTCACAGCCTTCAACGCTCATAAGCCGTTTTTCGACCCGATGAGAAAATTAGCAGGGTGATTTTTGCATTGACAAATATCGTTGTATGTTCCCTACCATTCCCCTGATTTTTTGTCTCAGTGACTAAACCTTTTTTCGATCCGGTAAGAAAATCAGCAAGGGGTTGTTCTATTTTGAGAGCCTTTGTAAATATTTACATTCTTAAAAAAAGGTTTTAAAACTAGAAAAACCGGAGAATGTGAACCATTCAATTCTCACTAAAGTTCACAACCCTCAAAGGCACAACCCAGGCAGAAATTTCGTGAACAATTCTCTTCGGTCTGTAGGATAGAGCCCTAGAGGACAATCACAGATGTGGCATTCCCGTGCACGGAAATCACCCGACAAGAGCGCTAGGGCCTTGCAAAGTAAGCTGCAGCAGCTGCAATTTTTTTACCAGGCTGTTTCTGGCGCCCTCTCATCTTTTGCGTTCTCTCACCTCGGCTCCGCGCTTAGTCTCTCATTCCTTTAGCACCACCTCCTTTAGCAGATTACGAAGGTGAGTAAGCCCTTAGCTTAAGCA